CCCCCCGCGAGTATCGTGGGTCCCCGTTTTGTGTTGTCTATTTTTTGACAGGCATGTATCAACTGCCAATAGTGCTGAAGACAGGCAGGGGGGTGGGGTCATGTGGCTTACTTCTAGAGCATGTGCTTTGCATGCAGAAGGTCCCAGGTCCCAGCCTCTGGCATCTCCAAGTACAAAGGATCAGGTAGTAAGTGATGTCAAAGACCTCTACCTGAGACCCTGGAGAACCGCTGCCAGACAAAGTAGATGATACTGACCTTGATAGACCAAAGGTCTGATTTAGTATAAGGCAGCTTGTGTGATGAGCACATTAAGACATTACCCGGACTGAGACAAATCATTTTAATGAGATTAGTGCAGTGGCACACACTCTACTGCTCACGGAGAGCCCCGTTTGCAATTGCCATCAAGCAAAAGAGCCATGTTTACTTCTATTCATGACACTTCAAGGATGCTCACAGCTTACCCGTACTGTTTCAAGGTGGGAATCACCTGTCAACCACAAGCCCCACTGAGCAATGGTGCTACCCACTTTCCTGAAATGTGTGGCATGTGCCATACTGGGGAACAGTGCTCAGAAGAGACATAGGTGGCATGTCAGAAAGCCACATGTGGCTCCCGAGCCACTGAGTGAGTACCACTGGAATAATGTGTCTGTTGTAATGCCATTATCATCAAGAGAAATCACAATCATATTTTATGCAGGAAACATTGACACGTGATACCACCAAAACTTGCCCAAACCTTTTCAACAGGTCTGTGTGTACTACATATACTTACTCCATGAGCCAGGCTGAGGAGGCTAGAACTGTTTTGTTGCAGGCTGGAAAAGCCTACAGTTGAATTTTGGCTACAGTGATCTGAGGCGTGAGCACTGGCGACGATCTGACCCTGGAGAGCAGCTCCAATTAATGTCCCGAGAACTTCCACTGTGATTCCTATTGAGGGGAAAATCCACAATGATGGTCCTGTGGGAAACCTGATGTTGAAGCTTAACTTATAATGGCACCGCGTTTTTTAAAAAAAAGTAAATATTGTGTGAGTGTTTTTTTTTCGTGTTTTAATGTGGGATTTTATATGCATGTTTCTGTGGTTTAAAAAGGCAGGCCTATAGAGTAGCAAAGCGGGGTCTGGATGGGTGATTGAAATACATTATGATTGTTATGATTGGCTGGTTTTGAGAAAGGTACTGGTTTTGAGTGGAGTTGACTGGTTTTGAGAAAGAGAAGTAGACTGTGGGAGAGAGAGAAGAAAAAGAGAGTAGAGTGAGGTGCTGTGGAATTTGTGAGAAATCTGTGTTATTTGTGGAAGTTAGTACCCTAAGTGGCAAGTTAGGAAATTAAACTTTGTGGAAGTTATTAGTCTAAGTGGCAAGTGAGAAAATAACCCTGCTTAAGGAACGTTAGAAAAAGAAGAACGGTACCTATCTGAAACCATTAAACTTATGTACCTATCTGAAACATTACATATATGAACTTTACTGAAACCATTATGCTGTTATACTCCTAAATAAACTCTATTTATGTTTAAGAGAAAACAACTGTTTTATTTATAATAAAGAATCCCCTTTAACCGCGGAGCCATCCTTACATGCTGACCATTGTGTAATTCTAACCAAAGATAACTAAGCCATCCTGTTCTTTAGGTCCAACTAAGAATTCTAAGCCACGAGCCTTTGGTGGCAGCATAAATAAGTAGGAAGGCAAGGAGGCAACATAAAAATGTCACCTGAGAACACTACAGAGAGGTGACTTTACAGGTGTTACATGTAAGGACTCTCAGAAAACAGCTAAAATGTTACAGGCACCTACTGAATTCCAGCTTACACTACGCGCCATTTAGTCCTAAATTAAAGGGGGAAAGCCATTCGATATAAGAGATAGACATTTAAGTGGATATGTAATTTATTTTCTGAACAGTACTGCTATAACAGTATAAAAGTGCTATAATTTATTTTCTAGCCAAAAGTGCTATGACAGCAATCTTGTGGCAGGAGCTCCCCTAGCCAAAAGCAAGCTTTCTTGGGTCAATTTAGTTTCCGCTTTACTTCAAACCTGAGAATACATTAATTTTGCTGTTTGTTTACGACGAATACAGCTCTTTTCTTCTGCGTAGTTCAGAAGTTTCTGGCATTGATTCTTGCATAAACAGAGGGGTACACAATGCCATTTCAGAGCAGAAGCATCCAATCCACACAGTTATCCAAAAGTTAAAACCCAGCTATTGTCTCTTTGCATTATACTTTTGTACACATACAGGGCTAAACCTAGAGAACAGCAAAGGGAGGCTTTTTAGCACCCGTTCTGATGGCAGCAACCTCCCTCCCAAACCATACTGGGGGACCCTCTGGAGCAGTACCCTATGCCGTATAATGGACTGCATATCATACACTTGGATGACAAAATGGACACCCCCCCCCCCCAGCCCACACTCAAAAATTACCCCCCCCCCCCCCAGCCAGCATATGCAAAAGCATCTCGTACACATGCACGTGCGCCTCTGCAGCCAATCCACAACATGGTGGCAGCAGTCTACAGTGATCATCCCACAGACAATATCTGTTGATTTAACTCGCTTTTTTTTTTTGCTTTTGTGAGTGATTTTCGAAACACTTAACCACCTCTTTAAAAAGTTTTCAGTCAGTACTAGTCTTGTCTCTTTACAATGCAGGGATGCTTTGTTAAGAGAAGCCTTGTCAGACTAGAGGCCCGATATTTGATGACCTTCCCTTATTAAAACAAAGCAGAAGTCCAGTGGTGCCTTAAGAGCTAACAACATTTACTCCAGCTTTTGTGAGTCAGAGCTCACTTCCTCACATACAATGGAATCAGTATCTGATGACTCAGGAAAAGCTCAAACTAGAACAAATGTTGTTAGTCTTTAAGCGGCCACTGGATGGCTATTTTGTTTCGCTGCAACATCCACATAGTAGGAAGAGC